GGAATGTAGCACAGTTAATTCCTAGAAATGTTGATAAACCCTGGCTTGGATTATACCAGTCTGTGTGCTCTGATTCCCTACTGCCTTCAGTATTCAGCTTCCATATCTCTATAACAAGTATGGCCACTTCAGTTTTCATTCCTTGCTGTAAAAGAGACACAGCTCAGTTAAAATCTTAGAAAGATAAATTCAGTTAACTAGAACTTTAGGGTATAGTCCTACAAGGTGCAGTAGAGCTGCACAAAATGTTTTAGGTGAAAAGCTTTCAGCAAAAGTCAATTCAATTTGATTAAAACATTTAGGGAATTCAAGTCAATTGTGACTTAACTTCTTGGGGTGGGAGAAGGAGAAATAGGGGCGAGTAGTCCAAAAAAGCCAACTTTTCATTTTTGACATTTTCAAAACAAATTTTTTTTTCATTTCAAAATCTATTTCAGTTTTATTTTTTAAAAATCAAGAAAAGACTTCAAAGTTAAGCAAAGCTTTTCATATCAAGTTGAAAGAAATGTTTTGCTCAACCTAATTTGTTTTGTTTTGTCAGTTTATCCACCAAAAAAATTTTTTAAAACCTTTTATTTGGATGAACTGCAGCTGACCTTTTCTCCAGTGCTGCAAGCAAACCAAAGTATCAGTTATTCCTATAGTTCTAGTGCTGACTAACCTCAGTTTCCACTTCAGTGTGGGAGTTACTGGGAAAGCTTAGCACCACAACGGTGAGCCTGGGAAATATGGGAACATCTGAAACATTCATTTGGTCAATATTTGGAATAAGTACAATTCATTTCTATGCACATTTTGGGTTAAGTGGAGAAAAAATAAAATTAGTTATCAAAATTTACCTTTGTTTTGAAAGAAGATTGTGGCTTTCATCGTTAATAACACACAAGGTTATGGGCTCTAAAATACAAGTCACTTATCATTAATGCACAATGAATCTTAATGTTTTCATTCACTTGAATATTGACAGTAGAGATCAGTTAAATTTCCATTTCTGTTCAGTTTCTACTTCGATCTGTATACCTTAGCAGATGATCATGATGTTTGCACTCCAAGTTTTCTGAAAATTAACTTCAATAAGAACATAAGAAGTGCCATGCTGGGTCAGACCAATGGTCCATCTATCTCAGTAGCCTGTCTCTGACAGTGGCAGAAGTGGGTGCTAGAAGGAGAACATTGAATTGGATAGATCTAGAGTGATCTGTCTCTATCCATTATCCTCCCTGGCATCTGCCATTATTGGTTTAGAGATGCCAGTGGAAAAATCTCCAACCATTCTGTTCAACAACTATTAGTAGACCTATCATCCATGAATTTGTCTAGTTCCTTTTTGAACCTGGCTATGCTGTGTGCTTCCACCCCCTCCTCTGGCAATGAATTCCACAAGTTAATTATGTGTTGTGTAAACAAATACTTTCCCTTGTTACTTTTTAACCTGTCTCCTACTAATTTCAGGAGGTGTCCCTATTCTGGGACTTGGTGAACAATAGTTCCCTGTTCACCTGGTCCACACCATTCATGGTTTTATAGACCTCGATCATATCCCCCTTAGCCTTCTCCTTTACAAACTGAAGAGTCTTGACATTTTTAGTCTCCTGATATGGCAACTGCTCCATACCACTGATCATTTTGGTTGCCTTTCTCTGTACCTTTTCTGATTCTGCTACATCGTCTTTGAGATATAGAAACCAGAACTGCCTACAGTTAAAAATGAGGGCACACCATAGCTTTGTATAATGGCATGATGGATGTTCTCCATTTTATTTTCTGTATTCTTCTTAATGATGCCCAACATTTGATTGATTTTTTTTGTTTGCTGCTGTGCATTGAGCTGACATCTTTAGAGAGCTATGTACAGTGACTCCAAGGTCTCTTTCCTGAGTCATAACAGCTGGTTCAGAACCCAGCATAGTGTATGTATAGCTGAGGTTATTTTTCCACAGGCACGTTACTTTTCATTTGTCAACACTGAAGTTCTTCTACAATTTTTTTTGCCCATTCACTTATAAATTCTATCAGAAATAAATCTGTCAGAAATATTTCTGTGACAGTTATGGATTAATTTGTAGGTTTAGGACCAAAATGTGTCTGACTTTCATGTGAATGTTCTGTACAGTGCTGGGAGGAGAATGCAAAGATTTTTTTCTATCCTTGTTCACTATAGAGCCTATATAGGGACAAGACACAAGTCAGGTTCTTTGTACTTCAGGCTACTCTCCTTAAATAATTAGTAATAAATTTTTACTGGCTTCTGTTCCTTTACAGGGTGGGGCTGCTGGTGTATATGGAATATATGGCTGTCGAGGGGTAAGTTTGGGGATTTGTTTGGGGTTTTTTTGGTTCTATGTTGTTCTTGTCCCCAGAGGTGAATTAACAACTCAGCACTTGGTTGTGAATTGTATTAGACTTGTTGCAGCAGTTATACTACAGGGCTGTGTTATCCCGGATAAATCTGTAAAGCTAGCCAATGCCTGGAATGAAATGATCTCAGCTAACAGTGTTGAAGGATGGTATGCTACTAATCACTAACCAGCCCACTCTGTCATCCCTTGATTTCTTAAAGCTCTAAAATGTTAACAACCTTTGGTGCCTATACACATGCTTCAATGCGTTCTGATTAGAATGCATCGGAGCAGACTCGATTAATCTAACTAGAATGCTCCAGCGTGCTGCAGTGTCTCATGTATTCAGCCTCCCACATTTCAAAATGACAGCTTTTTTAAATGTGGGATGCTGAATACATGTGACACTGGAGTGTTTTAATTAGAGTGTTTTAAAATGCCCCCGTCGCCCACCCCTGAGCACATGTATAGCCCCCTTATGGTTGCATTCATGTTTTAATCATAATATTAGATTCCATTCCCAGCTATACACCCTACATGCCCACTTCCTGCCTACCATCCAAGTACAACCTGCTTTAGATAATCATCTCAGTGTATCATGCCTATTTTTCAGTGTAATCCTTCTTTCCTTTGGGCAGTTCCTTTTGCATAGATGAATAATTTGCACGCTAGCATCCACTTATTGCTGTATTGATTTAGTGGTTATTTAAACAATCTAGAAAAAAACTTCTATTGTCAACTTTCATTTTTCCCCTCTATGTTGTAATTATTCATAAACATTACATAAGTTATTTTCTACTTTAAAACCTCTTGAAACAAGTGGGAAAAAACCACAAGAAAGGTGGCCTATTTTCTTGTGCTGTTGAAAATTAAAGCCCTGAGCTAGGAAAATATTTAAGTACATGTTTAATGTTGAACCTGTAGTTAGTTGCAATTAATCTACTTATTTATTGGCCTTCATGCTTAGGCATTTATTTAAGTGTAAATGTATATGAATGTATACTTGTAAATATATTATGTTCTTTTGTAGTTAAACTTACAAATATTGTAAGGTGGTGAAATGCTGGAAAATTTGGATTTCAGTTTTATCTTGGAGTAAATTCGGATGAACTTCACATAAATCAGAGGAATTAACCTGGATTTATTCTGATTTAATTGAAATCAGAATTTAATGTAGGCATTTTCTCTAATCATCCACTCCACAAAACAAAAATTCCAGATAGGGTTCATTTCCTAATGTGGCATCTTATTGAAACAAATCATCATATAAAGAAGTAATTGGTTTTGTCTTTTGTTAACAGGATGGATCTTCATTCAACAATGGCATTTCCTATGGTCAGGTAAGGACACTTTTTTCTTTATATTTAGGTTTCCAACGTGTGATACTCTTCAGAAAGTAACAGGTAGCCCCAAATTTTGCCACACAGAAAATTCATGGGAAGCCATGAGAATAAGAGGGTGTGAGAAGCCTCAAAGTATTACTAGCATGAAGTATAGCCTAATGAAGGGTATTTAAGTCCAAAAGCTGGCTAAGAGAATTTTTCCAACTATATGAGTTGGTCTAATAAAATATTTCAGATTTACCAAAAGAACCTTGTCTTACTAGCATGGATACATTTCAGCAAATGAGTGCTGTGGCTATGGGGCATTATATGGTTCCATCTTTGAATACCAAATTCCTTTCTTCTTTGTTAAACCAAGATCTAATATGTATTCTGCAAGTGGTTGCAATAGATATAGATATTTTCTATTTTGATCATCATTTTCACCAGAAAGACAGTGCTGCCTGTGGTGGTGCTGAGAATTAAAAGTAACATTTTCATATATGCTTGAACTAGTAAGGAGGGCATTTCCTATAAATTTATTTGAAACTCATAATAACATTTCTGTTCGTGTTGGGGATTTCATTACTTCCATCTGGTTCTCCTTCTATGGTATTTTATTGTTCTGTCCTTATTCTCTTCCATTTTTGATCAAAGGAATTATGATCAATTTCCTTTCAATATATTACTTTTATCTTCCATTTCAAGTAGTGATTTTGCTGTACCAGAAATTCCACCTTATATCTATTACTTCAACTATTAGAAATTTTCTTTTAACACTAAATTAGTTCTGTGTAAATACAAAATAATTAATTATGTTGAGGGAGGTGGGGAGGATTTCTTTTGCTCCCATTCACCTATTGCATGTGTTTTTCACAGATTTCATTTTCTTCAAATATTGCTTAGTTCAGCACTTTAGGCCCCTTTATTAGCTTTAAATCACTCCTATAAAATGGTGCTGAATTTAAGTTGGCGAACTCTTCCTAAGTAAATAAATGGTTCCTGTATTCTTTACAGTCTGTCCCTTCAGGCAGCAAAGAAACCTCTGTTAAGGTAAGTGCTTATTCTTTGTTGAATTTATGGAATCAGATCCTTAACAAAGGTACATTAGCACATCTCCTTTAATTTCAGTGGAATTGTACCAGTTCATACAGTTGAGGCACTGGATCAGATTTTATCCCATATTATAATGCAGTAACTGAATGCTTAGCTTACTAGTTTTCAAATGCATCAGGCTCAGTGGCTGTATGACGGAATTTTTTATGACTGGATTTTACTGTAAATAGAATAATATAATTACAAAGCTGCCTAAGGGCTTTCTAAGATGCTGATGGGCAGTATACAATTATTGATGTTAATAACAGATAGATTATATCATTATTGTTACAAAGAGAATGATTCATGATTCAGTGGTGCAAAGCCAATGAAATCAACAAAATTGTTATTACAGATGAATCTGGCCCTTGGTATTGCCCATAAGTAGTCAAAGCACAGGGAGGCTGCAGTGTGAATGGGTTACCATGCCTTGAAAATATTCAAACCCAGACTATTCACATGCTTGCTATCAAATGTATGAGTTATGTCAGACCTCATCAACCACACTTGCAAGAAATTTAGTTATCTCAATTTTCTGCTTCTTCCAGAAGTAAGGGGACCTTATTTTTAAAAACAAATGGCCCATTTCTGCCTCTCAATAATTCTTTTCCATATGTGATAAAATCTCAGTAATTACTCCTTCAAAGGATGTGGACTATTTTCAGTCAAAACAAACATACCTATTTTCCCCAGAAAAATAATGCTATGGAAAAAAACATTACTCTTCAGTTTATTTTCATTCTCAGGGCACTCTCATATAAACTTCACTATAGAATGAGAATGAATGAAGAGATGCAGAGTGGAGTGTGCACCTTCTTTTGGCTTTCCATGCCAAGAAGGCTGTATAAACCAGTGGGTATATCGGGAGGCATGGTTCTGCCACTGATTCATTATGTTGCCTTGTGCCAAGTTACTTACCTTGTTGTGCTTGAATTCCTATATGTAAAATTGAGATAATAATCCTTGCTCTTTTCTGTAGCATATTTTGAAATTAACATGTTAAAAATGAAGTGCTGTAGAATGCTAATAATTATTATTCCCCAGAGCTTGTAAGAACAGAGAGGTTTCTTTTTTTGAAACCATTTAAATATTTAAATAAACCCACTTGTGACAAAATTACTTATCTCTGGTTCTTTAACAGATAACATCCTATGCCGCAAGTGGTCCCTATCCAGCTGAGGTAAGCACAGTATTTCTTCAGCACTTAGAATTTTGCACCAAAGGCCTTCTGAACAACCATTTTGCTTAGCTGTTAAGACAGATATACTACTTTAGGGGTGCATGTACACGAGATACTTTACTGAGCAGTACAGCTAATTACTGTATAGTAAGCATCATCTTCTACACATACTGACCCTTACTGTACAGTAATTTCCTCTACTTGGTAATTAATTTACTAACTGCAAATGCAAATAGCAAATTAACTGTCAAGTAAGTACTGTACTGTACAGCATGTGTAGATGGCTGACCAGGAGCAAATTTACTTCTGGGCAGCAGGGAGTGGGAGATTTGCTCCCTGCCCCCAGGCACTGCCTGCTACTGAGGCAGGCTTTACCACCATAGCCCAGTCAGGGACAATGTCCCCCTGCCCCAGCAGCAAGGAGCTCCCAGCCCCTGGTCCATGATCACAGAGCAGGAGCTGGAAGCTTGATCCCAGCCCCAGCTCTGCAATTGCAATCTGGTAATGGAGCTAGGAGTTTGGACTGCTTGGGGAAGTCTGCATGTGCTGCCTGGAGTTGCCTGGGGGCTGTCCAATTTCAGAGACAGTGCAGCACAGGCTGGATCTCACCAGAAACTGTCCCAGTCAGGGGCAGGTCCTAGCCCTGCAGATTTTTCCCAACCCTGTGCCTCAACTGCAGGCCCCCTGCAGCCCTTGGGTTCTAGCCCAGGGGCTGGCAAGGAGCATGGGGCCAGGAGACAGCTGTCCCCTGACAGGGGGCTGGGAGATTGCTCCTTGCCCCTGGGAGCTATCTGCTGCTGGGGAGGCTCTATCACCTGAGCCTGGGCAAGGACAATGTCCCTGTGCCCCAGCAACGGGCGCTCCAAGCCCTGGCTCCCCAATCAGGGGCAAGAGGCTTGGAAAGAGCTGCAGGGGAATGGCAGGTCCCAGCCCCTTGCCCTGATCCACCAGCAGGGCAGTTAGCAGTGAGCCTCCGGCTGGGCAGAGAATACTCTAAAGTAAACCCACTGGGCAGCATTTGCACATGTAGACACGCCCTAGGAGTTGTGCAGGGAGGGTGGGGAGTTTATATTATTGACACAATTATGTACAGAGAAAGGGCATAGATAACGTAGATAAATGCAGGGTGCTGCACCTTGGGAGAAGGAATCCACAGCATACATACAGGCTGGGGAGTTCCCTTCTTGAAAGCACAGAGGTGGAACGGGATCTTGGAGTCATTATTGACTCCAAGATGAACATGAGCTGCCAATGCCAGACCGCAGCCAGCAAGGCCAGCCTTACCTTGTCACGCATCCAAAGGTGCACCTCAAGCCAGTCCAGAGAGGCGATACTCCCCCTCTATGCGACTTTGGTCAGGCCACAGTTGGAGTACTGCATCCAGTTCTGGGTGCGGCACTTCAAAAGGGATGTGGCCAGCCTGGAGAGGGTTCAGAGGAGGGCCACCCGCTTGGTGAGAGGGCAGCAGGACAGGCCCTATGAGGAGAGACTGAGGGACCTGAACCTGTTCAGCCTCAGCAAGAGGAGGCTGAGGGGGGACCTGGTGGCTGCCTACAAACTCATCAAGGGAGATCAACGGCAAATAGGTAGAGCCCTTTTCTCCACAGCACCACCTGGGGTGACAAAGAACAATGGTAATAAGCTGATGGAGAATAGGTTTAGGTTAGAGATCAGAAGGCAATATTTTACAGTTAGGGTGGCCAAAATCTGGAACCAACTTCCCAGGGAAGTGGTCCTCGCCCCTCCCTTGGGCAAATTCAAGAGGAGGTTGGACGATCACCTGTCTGGGGTCTTGTGAACCCAGCATTCATTCCTGCCTGTGGCAGGGAGTCAGGCTAGATGATCTGTTCAGGTCCCTCCTGACCCTAGCTACTATGATACTGTGAAATGTTCTCTTCCTCCTTCTGCAATTAGCTTATATGCAATGAAAGGACTCTCATAGACCCAAATGGGCTTTGGATCAGCCCTAATGTCCTCTTATAGTAGGATATGGGCTTCTATATTTCTAGTTGCCATTCAAATTAACATAATTTTTTTTCATTTGGAAAAAACAATTGGCAAGATATTTAGTGTGTCTCCAAGACTACCTGGAAAGGTATCCAGAATGCTTTAGTTTTCAAAATACCAACTTAAACCATTTCACAGTGTAGGGTGGTATAGTGAAGAGAGATAAAATGTGATATGCTCACTGTCTTGGTGGATCCATCCATCCAACAGGTATATGTTTCTTTTACTGAAACTATTTTCTATCTAAATTAGTCATTGTACTATATAATCAAAGCTTTCTGGTTTCATTTACAGCGTCAGACCTACCCACAGGTAAACACACTTTCACTTTTATGTTTTGTCCTAACAGTATTGCCATTGTAAGGACAAATCTTGTGCTTGCTTTTCCACACCTTACCCAATTCCTCCAGCTGTAATAGGCAGTCCCTGATAACAGCAGAACTAGTGTGAGTGATTTGCCTGAAAGTGGAATAGGTTTCCATGCCATCTAGAGGTGTTATGGAACTGCAACTGAAAATTGCACTGGGTACAATGGTCTCTGGTCAGCTTGTCCCCTTATGCAGATGTGCAGTAAAGGAAAGGGTGCCAGAAAGGCCCTCGCTAACCTTGTATTATTCACATCAAGGCAAGGCGGAGCTCTATGTTGTGCAGGATCTGCTCTGCTCTTATAGTCAGTCTAGATGCAGGGTGCCATAAAGCAGGTGAGGAGAGGTTGTGGCCGGAAAGAGGTGGCACCCTGGCTGTAGCTCACTATGTTCTGACAAGTAGGGGTGGCTGGCAGTAATAAGCTGTGCCCCAAAAATCAGCTTCTCTGCATTAAGCTGGGACCAGTTGATCCCAGGCAGTCTGCTTCCCCTCCCTTGTTGAGAATGTCAGCCGCAACTGAACATGCAGTCCACCAGTATATCCCTCACAAAAGCTTTTTCCCAACATTGGGTTCTAAAAGTAGCACAGAGTGCATGCCAACTCCTCCTTTACTCCCCCAAACAAGGAAATACCCATTGGTCCTTTCCTCCAAATGCCATAAACAGAGCATACTGAATGATTTTTTTATTTTACAGAGCTTGAGCGGTTCTGGATACAAAGTCTATGTCCAAGTAAGTTCTCTTTCTTCACTGTATTAGTGTTTTTATACCATCACCGGTGTCAGGGAATGTTTATTCATCACAGCTGGAATAGTTGAGTGTGTTTTCCCTGAAAAATGGGTGGTGTGTAAGGAGCTAGGAGATGTCTGTGGTTGTATGACACTAGTCTCTGCTCTCTAGTAAATTATACAAAATCATGCAGTTATGTTCAGTAGCCATAAACATGAAAACCTCTGCATCCCTATTCTTTAGTGTCCTCAACATGCTTTCTACCATTGAGGCCTGCTTCTGCTAACAGAACCAGTAAAGCTTGTTAGTCTAATTTATAGCAGCTGATGATTTGGCCTTTAGTGCTACACAGTGGGTGCATCTACAGGAGACATTTACTGTAGAGTTGATTAATTAGCTCCACGGTAAAATGTCAGCATCTACATATGGGATGTTATTAGGCCAGAGTAAACTAATTTACTTTGCCACAGGATAATACTTGTATATACGTGTACTATCTGCAGCAGAGGAAACTGCTCCACTGCAGCACATGGTTAGACAGGAACCAGGCTGGCTGGGTCACAAGGGTGCTTCAGTGAAGGACTACCTGCTGGCTAGTCCCACACTGGAGCACTCTCATGCCCAAGCTAGCCCTTCCACAGCATGTTGAGCTGGGTCACAGCAGCTCTGGGCTGGCAGGCTGACCCCCTGTGCCCTCTGCCAGCCAGGGCTGCTCCAACCTGGAGTCCTGGGCGCACATGTAAATACAGCGCTCTTGGGAGCAATAAACTCCAGTGCAATATGTGCCAGAGATTATTGCTTTGCACTAATAGCATGTTTAGACGCATCCAGTGGCCATGGCCGCACATTTGCTTAACTGCAGAGTAAACTAATTAGCTGTGGAGTACAGCTAATTAGTAAGTAAAGCATATGTGTAATGATATTAGGCCACAGTAAACTAATAAATACCACGGTAAGATAGTACTATTGGGGACAGTGCTATCTTACACTGTGGTCATTTACTGCAATTAAATATATATATAGATGCTGACTGTGGGTGTAAATTGCCCACAGTCAACTGATCCAACTGAGGGCCAGACTCCTGCCTGCCACCTGGCCACATGGCTCTGCACTTTTAGCACCCTTGTGCTCCAACCAGCCCCTCCACTGCCCAACAATGCCACTGGAAGCCTGGGTCTGAGCAGCCCTGGCATATAGTGCTCCAACCCAGGTCAAATTGCTGGTGTCCCAGGTGCACGTGTAGATACTGTGCCTGGGACTAGTTTACTCCAGCTCAAACTACCCTGGAGTTTATTGCTCAGAATTAATGGAACATGTAGATGCACCCACTATTTAGAAGATTTTTCAGATGACAAGTCAAGTAAGTGTGTGTGTGTGTGTGTGTGTGTGTGTGTGTGTGTGTGTGAGTTGATTTCAGTAGGTGCTGAAACAATGGGATTTTAGAACAAAGTGTGTCCCCTAGTGCTTTTTACTAGGGCTGTGCGAAGCTTTGGTTGCTGATTCAATTCAGTGGAGATTTGGTCCAATTCGGTGGCTGAATCTCCAAATCCAAATTGAATTGAATTTGGAGAGACCCTTTAATCTCTCCAAATTGAAACCCTCCAAATGGATTCACAGAGATTTGGAAAGATTTGACGATTCAGCCATAGACACAGCTTTAAATGTTTTTTCTATGTACCTCAAGGTATCAGGCAGCTCGTGAATGCTGTGATGCTGAGGTGGATGGAGCATCCCCCAGGAGCACAGGAGGGTCCCCAGTGCTCTCAGCAGCAGACTCGGAAGTGGACCAGAAGCACTTCCAGTCCACTTCTGGGTCCACCGGGGAGTGCGCTGGGGGACCTCCCCACACCTCTCTGGCTCGGCGACTGATGCCTTCTGGTTCTGGGGGGGCATCCAGGGTCTCCCCATGGCTGATTGCCAAACCAGGAGAGTGCAGGGGGCCCCCCAGCACACTCGGCGGCGGACCCAGAAGTGGACCAAAAGTACTCCCAGCCCACTTCTGGGTTTGCCACCAAGCATGCAGGGAGCGCCCTTGCATTCCTTGGTTCGCTCCGTCTGCCCCACCATCGCAGCATTCTTGAGCCGCACCTGGTACCTCAAGGTATGTAGAAAAAACATTTAAAGCTGTGTCTATGGCCAAATCGCTGATTCTCCGAATCAGCATCAAATCTTCAGATTTGAATTCGGCCAAATCGAATCGGGACAATGATCCGATCGATCAACGAATTGAATCACTGTCCCTGATTTGGGCTTAATCCTAATCGAATAGGACCCGTTTCGCACACATTTTACCCATTGTATGGCCACCCAGAGCAGTGTTAGAACACAATAGTTTCTTTCCTTGAAACAGCGTAGTCGGCATGTCATCCCCAATTGAAGTAACAGGTTCCTGGATTTTTTGTTTCTCCAGGGTGGACAAAGTTACCAAGGTGGCAGCATTTCCTATGGTCAGGTAAACTATCTTTATACCCAGTAGGTACTTTCTCCTTCACTTCAGTAGGCTCAGAGACAATGGAACTAGTTGTTTTGGAATGGGGGGAGGAGGTGGAACACCCCCATATTTTTTTCTCCAATTGTTGTGCCTCCCAGGATAGCATTAGAAGGCAATGTTTTCTGTCCTTGAAACAGCATAGTAGTCGGGTAGTCACCAATAAAAAAAGAAGTAATGGTTTTCTCTTTTTTTATAGGGTGGAAGCAGTGGTTCTTATAATCCGGTAAGCTATCTTTGTACCCAACAGAAGCTTTGCTTGATTTCACCATTGATTTCAATAGGTGCAGAAACAGTGAAATTTTAAAACAAATTGTTCCCCCGATAGTTTTTATTTATTGTGGTGCCTCCCAGAACAGTGTTAGAAAGCAATCGCTCCTGTTCATGAAACAGCATAGCAGTCAAGCCATTCGAGATTTAAAAAAAAAAAAAGAAATAACAACTTTGAGTTTTGTGTAATGGACAAAGTTACTGAGGCAGCAGTGATTCTTAAGGTCCACATGTATGCCTAATATGGGTTTTGCTGTTGACTTTGGTGGAAGTAAAGGCAGTATAATTTTGGAACAGATTATGCCCCCAGATTTTGTATCCATTGTTTAATTTCACAGTGTGAGTGCCAGAGATCTCTACAGCAGGGATTTTCAACCTTCTTTAATAAGTGTACCTCAGCGGCCCCCTTTTTAATAACTGTATCCCTGGGGGGACATGGTAAGCAGTGGTAGCACAACATCTGTGTAGCCCAGCTCTCACCCCACCCCAACCTTGCTCCTGTGAGGCAGTGGCGCAGGGTGGCAGCAGTGCATCCCCGCCCCCATGTGCCACTAGAACATTTCAAAGTGCCCCCAGGGGTATGCGTACCCCCGGTTGACAACCCCTGGTCTAGAGTCATTTATCATTTCCCTTCCTTAAAATCACCATCTTTATTTCCCCTAATGGATTCCTCTAAAATTTGTGGGGACCATTGGGAGGCCATTTGGAATAACAAGTATACTACTTTCTAGTGTGGACACAGGCTTTATGGGGTCTTGTTCCTCCTATGACCATTCCCACACATAGGCAAATAGCAGTAGAGGTCCTTTATGCAAACACTACAATATTCAGTTATAAACTCTCTTTCAAGGAAATAAATGTTTTCTTTACAGGGTTCATCTTTTGGTTTTCATGCTGAGTGCAGTGTTAGAATGCAAGGGGTTCTTTTTCTAGAAACAATGCTGTAATCACACAATTCTTTATGGAAAAAGAAAGTAGTAGTAACCAGTTTCTTGTTTTTTCACAGAACAGACAATGTTCCTCAGGTAGCAACAATACTTATAAATCTTTATGCCTGATATGGGCTTTGTTACTGATTTCAGTAAAGGTAGAAGCAGTGGAATTTTGAGACACATTGTGTCCCCCTCTCCCCTTGGCTTTTATCCATTATGGTGCCGCAAAGCTGTGTTAGAAGGCAATTGTTTCATTTCTTAACGCAGCGCAATAGGCAAAAAATCTCCAACAAAAAAGAAGTAATGTTTTTGGGTTTTTTTCTTTTATATAGGTTGGACAAGGATCCCCCAGTGTCAGCATTACCTACGGAAAGGTAAGCTCTCTTTGTACCCAATGTGGGTTTTGCTATTGATATCAGAAGCAGGGGAATTTTGAAATAAAATGTGCCCCCAATTTGGGGGATGGGGGG